ATGCATATGTTAGAAAATAATGGATTTTCTTGGAAACATACGAACATTTTACAGATTCATCAACAGATTTTCAGTACAAAAACATGCTTATGAACTCACCAGCCTTATGCTGATACTCTTTCAAAACTACTTGTATTCTCAGGAAAAACAGTAGACAGGTACCTCCTGGAGTTTTTGAGAAGACGGAGTGTTTAGAGTCACGTCTTTTTCTTTTGATTATACTTTGATTGTATAAAGTCAAGAACTAAATAGATGTAATTACTTTTTCATATATATATATTCAATGTAATGGTTATGTTTACTTTGATTACTGTAATGCAATGGTTGTGATATTATACATGACGTCATCCACCCCGAACGTTTCCGCCGCTCCGGTTTGGGGGTGTGAGACTTTAGAGCTGATTTTGTCGCTAGCCAGTCTAGGGTCCGCACTCTCTCCTTTAAGGATTTCAGGAGATGTGGGGCACTAAAATTCTTTGGGGTGAAGGACCTCATTGTCGTCAGGCATTGGCTAGCAGATATTGAGTGTTCCCAGTTGACGACCTTCTGCCCCGAGGGGTCGATGGTGAGGTTTGTTGTATGATGTCTGAGAGAGCGAGCTCGAGATTGGTGGGAGGAGGTTGGATATACCTTGGGAGCTCCAGCCATTGAGGCCATGACTTGGTCGTATTTTGTGACCCGGTTCTGAGCGTAGTTTACACCAACTGTTGAGGTGCAACAACTAGCTAGGGAGTTTCTGAATATGAGACAGACGATTGAGTCCGTGCCGGAGATCACCGACAAATTTCGAGAGAGAGCTTTATTGGTACCCCAGTACGCTGTGGATAAGGAGATGAGGAAGACTTGGTACCATGACATGCTAAGACCTGATATCAAGGAGTTTGTTAGTTTTTCCACTTGCCCGACTCTGGACGACATGATATCCAGGGCCTGGGAGCGGGAAATTAATTTGGAGCATATAAGGAAGAGGAAGGTAGAGCATGGATAGACGTCTGGGGTTTTGGCGAAGAAACCCAAGGGCTTTGATTCTAAATCAAAGGGCCAGCAGGGCCAGAGCCACTGTGGTAAGTGCGTTAGGGCACATGATAGGGTTTGCAGAGCGGGTGGTTCAGCTGCTACAAGTGCGGAAAGACAGGGCATTTCAGCAGGGATTGCACTACTACTACCACCACCACCCAAACATCAAATCTGATTTCCTTCCATTGCAATTACAGGGGCCATAAGAAGGCCAACTTCCCTAGTTTAGCATCAGGAGGACCAGTAGCAGCACCTACTCCGACAACTCTGAGGATTACAGATGGCCGCCAGGGCAAGGCGGAGACGCCAGTTGTTCGGAGCTGGGCATTTCAGCTGATTGCCGAGGAGGCTCGTACAGCACCCGATGTGGTTATTGGTATCTATCTTCTCATTATCTTCTTATTTATATGATTTGTAAGGCTTATATGTTGTATTGTTGTTTAGGGTCGTTCCTTGTGAATTATATTCCAATGATGATCTTATTCGATTCGAGGGCTACCCGATCTTTTGTATCCCTTGCGCTTAGCAAGAGATTTGATGATGTTTCGGGAGAGTTGGATTATCCACTAGAGGTTGAGATTCTTGATGACCGCCCGGTGCGAGTGTCTAGGGTTCACCGGGGATACACCTTGGATATATTCAGTGAGCCGTATCCGATTGATTTGGTTCCGATTCCCCTACGCGAGAGTAAGTTCATTATGGGGATGGACTGGTTGAGCCCCAATGGGATGATGATTGATTATGGGATTCAGTTGGTACGTTTTCGGACCCCAAGTGGGGGAGATTTGGTGATCCACAGTGAGGGTGCTCAACGTGAACCAACCCTCTATTCGGCAACCAGGGCCAGACGTTATCTTCAGTAGGGATGTTATGGGTTTGTGGCCTATGTGAGGGATACCCGGGAGAAGGGTGACATGACCATTGATGATGTACCGATTATTCGGGAATACCCAGATGTGTTTCCGGAGGATTTTCCGGGAGTGCCTCCGGAGAGGCAGGCGGAGTTTCAGATTGATTTGGTTCCAGGTGCGGCTCCGATAGCCAGAGCACCTTATCGGTTAGCACCTCTAGAGATGCAAGAGTTGTCAACACAGCTGTAGGAGTTGCTAGACAAGGGATTTATTCGGCAAAGTATTTCACCATGGGGAGCGCCGATCTTATTTGTGAAGGAAAAGGATGGGAAGCATCAGATGTGTATTGACTACCGGGAGCTGAATAAGCTAACAGTGAAGAACCGTTACCCACTTACGATGAACGACGATTAATTTGATCAGCTTCAGGGCAAATCTTGGTTCTCCAAGATTGATCTGTGTTCGGTTTATCACTAGATGAGGGTCACGGAGGAGGACATGCAAAAGATAAACTTCCAAACTCGTTATGATCATTACAAGTTCGTGGTGATGCCTTTCGGGCTCACCAATGCTCCAGCCGCATTCTAGGATTTCATTAATCGCGTATGCAGACCCATATTGGACCGGTCTGTGATTGTGTTTATTAATGACATCCTGGTCTATTCCAAGACCCGAGAGCAGCATGAGGAGCACCTGAGGGAGGTATTAGAGACTATGAGGAGGGAGAGATTATATGCGAAGTTCTCTAAGTGTGGGATGTACAGCTACGCGTCGCTCCACCTCTGGATACTGTGTCTTTTTAGGGGACAACCTCAACTCCTGGTCCTCCAAAAGACAGGGCACAATTTCCAGATCAAGTGCCGAGGCTAAATACCACATCGTTGGCAACGCTTTCGCAGACACTTCATGGATCCGAAATATTTTATTAGAGCTACGTTTCCCTACCACTAACGTGACCATAGTTGATTGTGACACGTCAACACGGTTTACATGTCAACTAATCCGGTTCAACATCAACGGACAAAGCACACAGAAATTGATATTCACTTTGTTCGTGACAAAGTAGCCCTCGGCCATATTCGGGTTCTTCATGTTCCGTCTACTGCTTAGTATGCCAATATCTTCACTAAAGGGCTACCCACCAGCTTGTTTTCAGACTTTCGTTCCAGTTTGAATGTTTACCATTCACCTCCCGATCAAACTGTGGGGGGATGTTAGTATACTTGTAATTGTATATGTTGTAGCCCATATTGATAGCCCACGTGTGTAGTATAGAATTGGCCCATGACCTTGTACGCATGTATTTATACCTTTGTATTGTTCTGGTTATGGGAGCAGAATCATATATTCTCGTCAATTATAGGAAGTTGGAAAATCTAGAACAACACACACCATTTTGACATCCAACGAATCAGGTAAAGAAGTCCCTCACCAGATCTTAATTTTTTTTCACATGTCCACCTCCACCACATATTTGCCAAGGGTGTGATCTTCTCACGCCCTTTATACAAGACGACAAAGAAGCGTATCCACTTTGATTGTGTAGGTTTAGATGAGTAGACAGCCTCCTTTGACCTAGCCTCTAAGTAAGAATATTGGATTGAACAAAGATCCACTTGTTCCATCTTTCCGTTATTCCGTATCATTGTCAACCACCGAAGTAGTTTTGTATATAATTCTTTTAAGAAAGGCAACAATGAATTTCCTGTCCATCATAAACTCCCGACATCAACTATCCAAACTATTGGACAGAGAAGGATCTGCAATTGAAGATAGGAGAGTCATCATGTCGCCATTAGACCTCCTTAAGTCGATTTGTCTCATCTAGTTCCATGCCTAATTACGAATTACCATCTTTTCATATGTTTGCAATGGAGCACCCTTGTTGTCTTTCAAGTGCAAAGAGGCTTTAATTCCATGTCCACTTGTGTAACCAGAACCATGTAACATTACCGCCTCCAATTTCCCTTCTAATGGAATCGATAACATCGATATTATAATCTTTGAGATTATATACAAGTATCATATTTTCTGGTGACTGATATGTGCATGCATAACATTATCCAACAAAAGTAGACAATATTCGCCATGGGTTGCTTTAATAACTCGGCACCACATAAGAGTTATGTTCGTGAAGGAATCTCCAAATCCATTTGGAGAGAAGAGCCAGCTCTAAAAAGCCTTCCCACCCCGAGGCCTCCACCCTCCTTCTTCGCAGCGACATTCTTCTATTTAATCCATTTTATTTTTCTATCTCATACACTCCCAGCATTATAAAATTTTAACCTGCTCTCTCACAGAAATTCAAAATCTCTTTATGGACTTTGAGCATAGAGAAGATAAAGACCCTTGACTTCCAAGGAAGGACCACTTTGGATAAAGTATGCTGACTCCCAATCCAAAGAGCTTTGACTTTCCACATCGAAAGATTCTTACAAAATTTATCCAACAAAAATGACCATTTGTTTTCCAACTGTAGACATTTGATCTCCAATCGGAATAAGAAATAAACTTCGTAATTGGGAAGCTTTGCAATTTAGAAGGTTGCCCATGTCTTCAACTACTCTATCATTAATTCCAATACCAAAAATTGAGTTTTTCGTGTAGAACACCTGGAGGCCGAAGGCTATATGAAAATGCCACAATTTAGGGTGTATCACGTTTGTGATGAAGTACATTAGTAATTAGTTACTAACTAGGGAAGAATCCCGCATTGCGGGTGTTGGAGTTGCGAGGGTTGGAGGGTATTTCATAGTCTTATTAGAAAACATAAAATAGCAATAAGCTTTACAATGTTTTACATATACTCATAGGCTTTTCAACATACAGTGTCTTAATAAGAAAAATAATTGAAGTACAATGCTGTAAAAAAAATTGAAAGTAGGATGCTACTTCTTGTATTTAGCCCTAAAAGAATTTGTAACATACCAACCCATGTTGCTGATGCTACTGCAACCTCAGCTGTAATGATAGAGAAACAAAGCAAATATTCATGGTTATAGTTACTTAAGCGACTTATATCAAAGTTCAGTTTCTGTAATGTCTAGATTAGAAAAAACAGATGCACAATCAATCATAACTATAATTTATAATCTTCTCTTTCATCAGAGTAAAATGATGTTTGTAACTGAAGCTCCTTACTTGACAATAATTCAAACTTGACATCCTAACCAAATTTCCTAATTAAGTTCACCAAATTTCAAAATGTATGATTGCAGAAGTTGTAGAAAGCATAGATTTTTGATTCCCCGGTCAGCCTCAGTATCCAATGACCCTAATAAAATTTATAAAAAAAAATAAATATTTCGTGAAAATTAATAAATTATAAAGTTAGAAATAGCTTGCTATTTGAAGCATTAAAAGACACGTACCTGGTTGAACAATTGTTTGAGATTGTTGGAAACCATGACCATTTTTCCAATCCCAAAACCGTAAACTCCCATTGTCACCTTTCATCAAAAAGATTATTATAGTCAGTCAATATTAAGTGAAAAAAATATATTTTTTATATTTTAAGAATTATTTTCAAAAATGATTATGAAGAAACTCATACCTCCTGTAGCTAAGACACTTCCTCATTGACTGTCATTGCATTAATTATTGACTTCTGTTGGGGAACTACAGATATAAAAAAACAGGTTAAAAGGGCTTAATGCAGAATATAAAAATGTACTTTTATTTATTTATTTATAGGATCCTATTTCTATTTCCTTCTACTACAAAATTGTACTTTCAATTTCTTAACGCCTCCAGGGGCATTTTGTCTTTGTAAACAAATATATAAGACTATGATTATGCAGAAAAGCAACTTGTTTATGTGTGTGTGTTTATATATATATATATATATATATATATATATATATATATATATATATATATATATAAAACATGATAACATTTTCTTCAAGTTAAATCCTAGAAAATTAGGAATAGAAGCTTATTGTTTTGTATTGTATTTTTGACAGGATTGAGCTAAATAGCAGTTTTCAAATCCAATCAAACTGATGGCTTGCATTGATGGCACCAACAATTGGATGGAACAAAATGGTACCGATGCTGTACTTTCACCTTCGTTCTCTGGAAATCCATTAATTCGTTTAAATACTCTTATTACAGCATCTTTGACATATTTTTCAACTGAAAATTTCAATCTAGCATGGTTAGACTACAGTTCGATAATACATTAATATCCAAAAAAAGAAAATCTGAATCCAAAATCATGTTCTCGAGAGCTTGAAATCCTAAATCTAACGGAGTATTGTTGTAATGATTTGTGGGTTAGGGATTAAAAGATATATGATATTGTAAATTTAGAGCTTCAACTTTGGAGAAAAATGAAAATGGTGGCCAAAATCTATCATAAGGAGAGAAGTTGTACCGGCGTCAAAACCTTGGTGACGTAGCTGAGTCATCAACTGCCATTTTAGATCTGGCGACGACGGCGATGAGTTAGTTTCGATCACGCGCCGCCATGTCTTTTGATCTTCTACTGTAGCCTTTCTCCTTGCTTCATCATCGTTCTCAAATGCAAATAATCTCTTCAGCGAATCCTTCATCGTATTCTCCACCACATCAGAATCTTCATCGTCATTGGGATTATGATCGTCGTCGATTCTTCCGATTTCTTCATCAACAACAACGCTACAGCCTTTCTCGATGAACGAATTAACCAAATCAAACAAATCCATCCAGTGACGTGCTTGAAGTGTTGATTTCCGGGTCCAAAATAAAATATGTATAAAAATTGAGGAACAGGGGCGGGGCCAAGGTCAAAATTTGTAGTTGATTTGGGGGTCCAAAATAAAATATGTATAAAAATTGAGGAATAGGGGGGCCAAAGTCAAAATTTCTAGTTTTAGGCTTAATATGTAAAAATTTTAATAGTTAAGGGTTATTTATGAAAAACAACAGGGGGGCCACAGCCCCTCCTGACCCTACATAAGCTTCGTCCTTGAATCCATCATTCAAAAAAAGAAAAAAGAAAATACGTATCGAACTTTACAAAAATTGAAGGTTAATTGTTCGAAATTAAACTATCTGGAGAAGAATTTCAGATGAGCGTTTGATTGTCGAAATCCATCATCGCCGAGTGGTTGTTTTGGGGTAAACGGAAATCGATCGGTGTATCTGACGTTTTTTTTGGGAAACCGGTGAGATTTAGAGAAAGAGAGGGTGTGGCGGTGGTTCATACGGTAATGGGAGGAAGCGGAGATCGATGCTTTAGATAGCGAGACAAGACGATGCGAAAATCTTAAAGAAGGAACGAATAGAAAGAACAGGGAACGACTGGAAGGGGTTGGAGACGGTGGTAGTGTGCTAATGAGAAAGCGGTGGAGACACTAACTTTTTTTCTATTGGTTTACACCGGCGGTGAAGGACACGTAGTAGAAACAAAGGCTGTCACCAAAATAAAAAAGCAAAAATAGTTTAAAAATTGACAAAGAACACAGAAACAAAAAAAATCAACCAATCATATGAAAGTCCTGTTCACCAAGGACTTTAGTATAATATATAACTAGATGGTTTCTCGCGCGTTGCGCGGGACGGAAGGTGTCAGTTTTCTTTTATAGCATTATACTTTCGATGTACAATGTTATAATTAGGAAAACTTTCAGTTATTTCAAAAAAATTTCACGTTTGAACAAATGTTTCCGTCCCTAAAAAAATACATAAATGACAACAATTTCAAAAAATTGCATAATTAGGATTAGTTTTATCTATTTGAAAACCTAATTGTACTGGAATCAACAATATTTAAATCAATCTCATGTATGGTGATTCCAACTCCAAAAGTAATAGTACAACAAAAAACATGTGTGCCCATTCCTGCAGTATAATTTTCCAAAATTTGAAAAAAAAAAAGAGAAAAAAAATGGTAAGTTATCGTAAAGGAAAGCTATAGTACAGGGGCATATTGGGAATTTTGGTAGCATAGATTAAAAGCAACATTCCATAATGTTGCTAATAACATTGAACAAAACAAAAGGTAAGTTGAACGAAAAAAAAATGTAACCCATGTAAAAAAAACAAGAAGAAAAAAAAATGCAAGTAGAAACCAGTGGAGGGATATTTGAAACTAATAACAATGTACAAAACAATAAGTAATACGTGTGGAACATGTAATTAGACGTTTGATATATCAGTAAAGAATACATAGATATGCCACCTAAAGCAAATGGGAAAACATAGGGACAGTTTAGGGGCCTTTTCGGAGATATGGTATACACAATTTAAGGCAGAGCCAAAAAGATGCAACTCGTGAATAAAAAAAAGCAGGAAAAAAAACTGGATACAAAAAACAGTACATAGGTATTTGAAGAACAATGTAAAAAGGCGGTATAAAGGGACGTATGACATATACATAAACAAAATATACATTTCACACTTATAGTAATGTGACTTTCTACTTTTCCCTTTCAGAAAAGTTTGATAGCACAATATTGCAAACAATCACATTGAAAAGAAAAGTGTTTTGCATTTTAACCTTAATACAAAAATGCAGTTACCTAGAGTGCCCTTTTAGGAAATTTTGAAGGTTCTTGGAGGTAGGTATTCCATCGAACACTTGCGGTGTGTTACTCTACCAATCATTAAAAAAAAACAAAAAAAAAACGTTACAACTTCAAACAAAAACTTCTTAAACGATTAAATAACAATAAGATTGAAGTTAAACATGAAAGATTGAAAGAAAAAACAATACTCACCATCAACAAAAAAAAAAAAAAACGATGTTGATGCCCGTGCTTGCTTACACACCAACTGCAAATGAGAAATAACCCAAATTTAGTTATAGATTTAAACAAATACAAACAAAACCTAAAACTCCATTGAAATTTTATTCATAAATCATGAAAAGATAATAGGCTCCAGTATGATAAAAAAAATAAATTTTATTCATAAGTCATGAAAAAGGGCAATATGAGAATTCTGCTCTCTAATCATGCAGACCATTATTAAGCTACCAACAATCTCAGGACTTATGAAACATGGTGTTTTGCAGCAAAATTACCAATTTTGAAAGCAACTCTTGCAAGGCCAAAATCACAAATCTTGAGTTTCCAAACACATTCGCGAATATATTTTGGGTTTTAAATCCTGATCAAAAACATTTGTTGCATAAATATTAAATAAATTCAATATCAATTATCAAGACAGATAAAGATATGAATTCCAGTTATCCCAGATTAAGTCAAAATGAAACGTCATGTAGTTAGTACCATTAAGAAAAATCGACTGTCAAAAGAGCAAAAATAGACACTGTTAGGATTTTGTCAGTTGCATGTAATTTTTTTTTATTAATTTGTAATAAATTCGTATATTTAAAATACGTACCTCAAGTATCAATAATCTAAACTGAGAAAAGAAATAGATCTATGAATGTACATTCTACATAGATCAACGATGTCGATAAAAAATGTAAAGCCATACCACCTCTTTATCACCTTCAGCAAACCCAAACCCACAGAGTGCATAATCTTTCTTTTGCCTAACCCTCTCTTTTATCCTGTGAGTCTACACCTCATTCGCCTACTTCTTGCAATATGTTAATATTCCAAAGATGATGTGTTCAAAAATAAGAAAAATAACAAAAATTAGAAGCACGGATAAACATATATAAACATAACATCAACACGAACATAATTCTCCTCACTTTCTGATGTGTCATCAACAAATATGGCACAATATTGGTTGACAATATCAAACAGATGCATTCTGTGAAAGTTTACCATCCCTTTTAGGTATTCATAGGCATTTCTCTTATCTAAGTCATCAAGAATTCCACATAACCATGACTCTTTGCATCTCAGAAACTGCCCCATTAAAAATATATATATTCTCATTAATTGGTAGATAATTTGGGATTAAAAAAGGAAAACTTTGTTGTATGAATTATTAAATACCTGTAGGCGTACACTTTTGGTTTCTTGGCTAATGAAAATCCAAGTCAATGCTCCCAATAAAGTAACGGCTGTTAGTTGAAAAAAATATTAAACAGTAAGTTTAATCAAGTGAAAAAGGATAAAAATATGATTAATATACCAAATGGCATAAATAATTAAAGTTAATTTTGAGTTATTTAGATTCCAACTTGTATAGATATGATAAATTCCATTCCTAAAAAAACCAACCACCCCCATATCAGGGATCATATAAGATAATAGAAACATATTACCTTCTTTTTGGGCATTTCCACAAACACCTCATGTGCACTTTCCTTCCACATAGTAACACTTTCTATAACTCAATTTTTTCATGCTGAACATCTTGATATCGTTGATAATAGCTGTTAAAAAATGGTATAAGGTCTTGACAAATGTAATAGTTAAAACGAATTAATAATTAGATTGAAAGGTACTGTTGAATTCCGGGCTTCTTCTCGAATAAGCTGAATAGAATACCAACTTTACTCTGTTTCCTCCAGTGTTTTGTACGGCATGAAGTTACATACGCCTGAAAAAGAAGTAATTTATTGGATAAAGAAGAAAGAAGAAAGTAGAAGGGAAGTAGAAGATGTGTCAGGATAAGAAGCGGAGGTGACGAAAGGGGATTGACATACTTGCATCATCGATGTTGTTTCCCTGAAAAGCTGAAACAATATGCAACAAAGAGGAGGCGCGAGCAATTGAAATCGATTTTAGGGCTTTTGTTGGGCACCAACGGTAGAGATATAGGTGATTGGGTATCGTAACAATGGTCCGCCGTCTTCTTCTTCCCACATGTGGCAATATCGAATAGAGTCGGAAGCAAATACAAATGAAGTCGGTGAGAAGGAGAAATCAAGAACAAATAAATATAAGGAAGCGGTATTCCGTCGTTTCCCATGGACACGTGTTATTAACTCTGGATACCTTGAATTGTGGACTTCTTCTTGAATCCTCGAATTGCGGACTTCTTCTTGATACCTTGAATTGTGGAATTCTTCTTGAATGCCCGTCTAAAACTGTGGAGTTCCCGATGACTTAGCCACCGCCGATCAATAGAGGCAAGCAAAGGTTGAATATCGGAGAGGGAGTGTGACAGAGGAGGGGGGTGTAGTGGATATCGACCTGATAAGGAAGAAATTGAATATCAATTAGGAGTTGTCGTGGGTGGAACAGGGAAGAAGAGAGATAGAGAGCATAGGAAGGAAGTGATGAGAGGGTAGTTTGGAAAACCAGACTGTGACACGAATGGATTTTTGGGGCGGTGGCTGCTCACGTGTACAGAACACGTATCACTTCTGAATGAAGCGGTGGATCACACCTGGTCATTGACCAGTCAATAACGAAGAATGGAAAGAAAATAAAAATAATAAAATGACAAATACAGCAAAATATAGGGACCTAGAAAGAAAATAAAAATAATAAAGTGACAAATACAGCAAAATATAGGGACTTAGAATGACAGAAATAACAAATGCAAATAGAGGGACCAAAAGAGACAAATATGCTATATCTTTATTGTTACTTTTCTTCACAACTTTAATATATATATATATATATATATATATATATATATATATATATATATATATATATATATAATAATAATCCTCCTTAATAAATGAAGGTTTTTTTGTCACATGTCAATCTCTCATTAGTTTTGACACTTGTCATTTTGTGGTATTTTTTAAATAAATATTATCCACTTGTCAATTTTTTGTTTGTTTCATTTTTTAAAATTAAAATCATATACTTATATATATGTAAAGTATTAAATATATATATATATATATATATATATATATATATATATATATATATATATATATATATATATGATATTAAATTGCAATAAATGTTTCTTCTTTTCTTATTTTAAAGTTGTACATTAAAGAATCTTTTCTGTTTATACTTTAATTTAATGTTTAATTTTTTTTAAATAAACCCGTGTAATAGACGGGTCACACACCTAGTAATAATAATAAGACTATCTTAATTTGGCATGCCGTTTGGGTCTAGAAGTGGCGCATTATTGTAAGTGGGTCGCCATCATGGAGCCTTTTGTTATCCGACCCTTTTTTTATGTTAATTAGTTAGCATAAGCTGTACATTTAAAGATTAACACTTCTGAATTGCTTTTCTTACGTAAAAAATATGCATGATACATATACATCGTATAATGCAAGATTTGTAAAGTTTAATAAGTATGGTTCATGCCAAGTTTTAAAGTTTTATGTTCATTAAAGCATGCAAATTGTGTCTCACATTTATCTCACCATGTTTGAACTTTTCTTATTTTAGGATGGCATGAATATTTTGATAATATTTAATTGCTTCAATCTTTATATCATTGGTGTGCTTTATCGGAATTTATATTGTTCAAAAGGGATGTCCACATTTTAAGGGAGACTATCACTAACGTTTAAGGGCGTGTTCGGCAAAACTAGCTGGTAGAAGGTAGCGATTAACAGTTAGCGGGTTGCTAGTAACAGGTAGTGGATAGCGTTTGATTTTGGAGCATTTTGTTGAAACCTACTTCATGCAGCTTTTGCTTTTGGAACATTTTGTTTAGGCTAAAAAATAAACGCTCCTGTCACCGAACAAGACTTTTTTTTACTAGCGTTTTATTATAAGCTAGAAACCAAAAGCTCTCAAATTCTATGTGCCGAACACGCCTACGTAAACCAAAATCTAAAAATGTTGTAAATATAATCAACTTTGACTTGTTCAAGTCTTTCGGTTAGTTTTAGAATATATATATATATATATATATATATATATATATATATATATATATATATATATATATATAAAAGGTGAGGTTCAATAGAGAACCATAATTAACCAATGAACCAAGTAACCAATCTTTTTTTCAACTTTTAGAACTTATTTTTTATCAAAAAAAAAAACTAAAAATACAGAAATTCATAACTTTTTATCCTTTTTCCAATGATATAAAATTAGATTTTTTTTTTTTTTTTTTTTTACGTCAAATTCACAATGTGAATCTTTGAAAATTCACAACGTGAATCCGGATTCACACGGTGAATCCGAAAAATATTTTTCACATTCACAATGTTAATATATGAATTTAGATATTTTTAGATTTTTTTTTTCGATAAAGAATAAGCTCTAGAAATTGAAAAAAAGATTTAGTTCCTTGAAGAACCAATAATTATGATTCTCTATTGAACTTTTCATTTTATATATATATATATATATATATATATATATATATATATATATATATATATATATATATATATATATATATATATATATATATATAAATCACGACCATTTGCAAATTTGATTATGCTCCATTTGAATCTATAACTTCAAATTGTATGTGCGTTAGTTTCGGTATTTTAGAGAAATTAAGTTTTGATAATTTTCAGAACTTTTGGAACATCTTTCTTTATATGAAAATATAATTTGGTATAATAAATTTTTGGTAAAGTAGTGTCGTTGCCTCTCATTTTTCTATTTCATACCCCTCTTTTTATATGCCTTACATCACTTCTCATCCTACTTCCCCTCACTTTCTCTTTCACATTGACATTTTTCACGCTTTATTTTCTTTCATTTTTTATTTTATTTTTTAATTTACTAAATAAATATATAAGATTGATACAAAATAATTTCTTTATAGAAAAAAACAAAAGATTAATAAAAACAAAAAATTCATTAATTTAAATTCAATAATTAAAACTTACATAATAATAATTAAAACAAGATTAGAAAATATTATACTTCTTTGTTATTTTTTCCTTTAACGCTAAGGTTATTTGAATTGTGTTGCCGGATCAATGCTCGTCACTAATGATTGTAAATCATTAGAATTTTGTCTTTCATCGCCTGCTTTTTGCTTCTTATGTTTTTTCCAACCATAGATGTTCGTTAAAACTTGAATACAATAAGCCAAATGTATTTGCAGTCCGATCGATCTATTTTACATGGGTCTTGGAGCCAATAAACTAGATGATGAAGCTTTTTTTCCCATTACCCGTATTTATCAAGCAACTAGGTTCTGCTATTTGAAGCTCGTTACCCTCATCGTTGAGGTCAATGCCTGCATACGCTGAAGATGTATAATTGAAGTCACGTCTTTTTATCATCTCAAACCATCACTAGGACAACCCATATCTGGCGTTGATAACCACTTTGGGCATTTTCGAACAATCTCCTAAAACTCTATATACTTAAACGCGTTCCTTTTATTCTCCAAACAGTAATTATCGAGCATCATAATCATATTGTTTTGTCACTTTGACCGCTTCGATATTGATTAGATAAAATTTTGTGCATATCATTGAATTTTTTCACATTTATGCTCAAGTCAATATATTCGTAGTCTGATGGTGGTGCAAACGATATTTGCCATGACTCATTTCATCGTGAATATGCTCTATAGTTGGGGTGTGTGTTCGGGTTTGGATTAAGGTTAGGTTCGTGAATGAGCATTTAGTTGGGTTAGGAAATATAAAGTGGGTTTTTTGATGCATGTATACACGTGATGTTGCAACTAATAATAATGAAATTGGGTGGGGGAAAGAATAATGTTGTTAAAATTTAGGATGTAAGGTGGCGAAGAGTCGAAATAGAAAATGTTTACAGTTGGTGTGTTGAAGAATTGGGTTGAAGTCGTTGAATGTGGAAAATATATGTTCTAAGAAGTAGAGTAATGAATGTAGAAGGAATGATTTGTGGTAAAAATATAAGATTTAGCTTGTATTTATATGAAATTAAAAAATAATAAACATGTAAATATATACATAAAAATTACCCTTCAACGATCATATTTTCAAAAAGTGAGACATGGTGGTGCAAAGGAATCTCTGTGAAGGGTGATCAAAAACAACGATGATCTGGTGAGGGAAAAGTGTTCACAACGGAGCCCATTGGATTACCTCAAAACCCCGCATGGTGTACGAGATGTACACTAGACAACCTAATAAGTACTTCATTCGTTCCATATTTATTGTTCACTTTTGACTTTTGAAGTCATTATTCTTCAACTTTGACCTTAAATATTTTTATTTGTGTTATATATTACTTGATGAAACTTATAACAATGAAAAAAATTTAAAACACAATCCATTCATATACTTTGAAGTATTATATATCAAAAAGAAAAATAAATAAGATTAAAGTTAACGAATAAATATTTCGAAAGTCAAAAGTTGACAATAAATATGTGATGGATGTAGTAATTACTAGGGGTGAGCTACGTATCGAAACTCGATCGAACTGGAAAATATCAAAACTGAATATTGCCAAAAGTATTATCTGAGTATCGAACCAAAGTATATAATATGGTACAAGTTTAGTTACAAAAAAGTAGCTTTTGTTTGAATTTAGGGGTAAGCGTGATACCAAAACATGACCGAACAAGATAGCACTGAAATCGAATCGAATAGGGCAAAAAATGAGAACCAAAATATGGGGTATGGTATTAGTATCAATTCGTTTCAGGAAATTCGACATTTTTACTTACCTCTGGTAATTACTATCAGCCATCTGGATACATTATTCAGGAAACCTTACACATAAATTATAAATATGGATTTCATTATATGGATAAATTGTTCATGAAACCTTACATATAAATAATAAATAGGAATTTCATTATTCATCTGTCACG